CACTGGACATCTCTATTACCCACAATGATCGTCCCACACACACTGGACATCTCTTTTACCCACAGTGATCGTCCCACACACACTATACATCTCTGTTGCCCACAATGAACGTCCCACACACACTGGACATCTCTTTTACCCACAGTGACCGTCCCACACACACTGGACATGTCTGTTACCCACAATGATCGTCCCACACACACACTGGACATCTCTGTTACCCACAGTGATCGTCCCACACACACTGGACATCTCTTTTACCCACAGTGATCGTCCCCCACACACTGGACATCTCTGTTACCCACAATGATCGTCCCACACACACTGGACATCTCTTTTACCCACAGTAATCGTCCCACACACACTGGACATCTCTATTACCCACAATGATCGTCCCACACACACTGGACATCTCTTTTACCCACAGTGATCGTCCCACACACACTATACATCTCTGTTGCCCACAATGAACGTCCCACACACACTGGACATCTCTTTTACCCACAGTGACCGTCCCACACACACTGGACATGTCTGTTACCCACAATGATCGTCCCACACACACACTGGACATCTCTGTTACCCACAGTGATCGTCACACACACACTGGACATATCTGTTACCCACAATGATCGTCCCACTCACACACTGGACATCTGTATTATCCACAGTGATCGTCCCACACGCACTGAACCTCTCTGTTACCCACAATGATCGTCCCACACACACTGGACATCTCTGTTACCCACAATGATCGTCCCATACACACTGGACATCTCTATTACCCACAATGATCGTCCCACACACACTGGAGATCTCTGTTACCCACAATGATCGTACCACACTCACTGGACATCTTTGTTACCCACAGTGATCGTCCCACACACACTGGATATCTCTTTTACCCACAGTGATCGTCCCACACACACTGGACATCTCTGTTGCCCACAATGATCGTCCCACACACACTGTACATCTCTATTACCCACAATGATCGTCCCACATACACTGGACATCTCTGTTACTCACAGTGATCGTCCCACAGACACTGGACATCTCTATTACCCACAGTGATCGTCCCACACACACTGGACATCTCTATTACCCACAGTGATCGTCCCACACACACTGGACATCTCTACTACCCACAGTGATCGTCCCACACGCACTGGACATCTCTGTTACCCACAGCGATCGTCCCACACACACTGGACATCTCTGTTACGCACAGTGATCGTCCCACACACACTGGAGATCTCTGTTACGCACAATGATCGTCCCACACACACTGGAGATTTCTGTTACCCACAATGACCGTCCCACACACACTGGAGATGTCTGTTACCCACAGTGATCGTCCCACACACACTGGACATCTCTTTTACCCACAGTGATCGTCCCACACACACTGGACATCTCTGTTACCCACAATGATCGTCCCACACACACTGGACATCTCTTTTACCCACAGTGATCGTCCCACACACACTGGACATCTCTGTTACCCAAAATGATGGTCCCACACACACTGGACATCTCTGTTACCCACAATGATCGTACCACACACACTGGACATCTCTGTTACCCACAGTGATCGTCCCACACACACTGGACATCTCTTTTACCCACAGTGACCGTCCCACACACACTGGACATCTCTGTTACCCACAGTGATCGTCCCACACACACTGGACATATCTGTTACCCACAATGATCGTCCCACACACACACTGGACATCTCTGTTACCCACAGTGATCGTCCCACACACACTGGACATATCTGTTACCCACAATGATCGTCCCACTCACACACTGGACATCTCTATTATCCACAGTGATCGTCCCACACGCACTGAACATCTCTGTTACCCACAATGATCGTACCACACACACTGGACATCTCTATTACCCACAATGATCGTCCCATACACACTGGACATCTCTATTACCCACAATGATCGTCCCACACACACTGGAAATCTCTGTTACCCACAATGATCGTCCCAGACACACACTGAACATCTCTATTGCCCACAGTGATCGTCCCACACACACTGGACATCTGTTACCCACAATGATCGTCCCACACACACACACTGGACATCTCTATTACCCACAGTGATCGTCCCACACATACTGGAAATCTCTGTTACCCAAAATGATCGTCCCAGACACACACTGAACATCTCTATTGCCCACAGTGATCGTCCCACACACACTGGACATCTGTTACCCACAATGATCGTCCCACACACACACACTGGACATCTCTATTACCCACAGTGATCGTCCCACACACACTGGACATCTCTGTTACCCTCAATGATCGTCCCACACACACTGGACATCTTTTTTTACCCACAGTGATCGTCCCACATACACTGGTCATCTCTGTTACCCACAATGATCGTCCCACACACACTGGACATCTCTGTTACCCACAGTGATCGTCCCACACACACTGGACATCTCTGTTACCCACAATGATCGTCCCACAGACACTGGACATCTCTGATACCCACAATGATCGTCCCACACACTAGACATCTCTGTTACCCACAATGATCGTCCCACAGACACTGGACATCTCTGTTACCCACAATGATCGTCCCACACACACTGGACAACTCTGTTACCCACAATGATGGTCCCACACACACTGGACATCTCTGTTACCCACAATGATCGTCCCACAGACACTGGACATCTCTGTTACCCACAATGATCGTCCCACAGACACTGGACATCTCTGTTACCCACAATGATCGTCCCACACACACTGGACATCTCTGTTACCCAAAATGATCGTCCCACACACACTGGACATCTCTGTCACCCACAATGATCGTCCCACAGACACTGGACATCTCTGTTACCCACAATGATCGTCCCACACACACTGGATATCTATGTTGCCCACAATGATCGTCCCACACACACTGGACATCTCTGTCACCCACAATGATCGTCCCACAGACACTGGACATCTCTGCTACCCACAATGATCGTCCCACACACACTGGACATCTCTGTTACCCACAATGATCGTCGCACACACACTGGACATCTGTTACCCACAATGATCGTCCCACACACACTGGACATGTATGTTGCCCACAATGATCGCCCCACAGACACTGGACATCTCTGTTACCCACAGTGATCGTCCCACACACACTGGACATCTCTGTTACCCACAATGATCGTCCCACACACACTGGACATCTCTGTTCCCCACAATGATCGTCCCACAGACACTGTACATCTCTGTTACCCACAATGATCGTCCCACAGACACTGGACATCTCTTTTACCCACAGTGATCGTCCCACACACACTGGACATCTCTGTTACCCACAATGATCGTCCCACAGACACTGGACATCTCTGTTCCCCACAATGATCGTCCCACACACACTGGACATCTCTGTTACCAACAATGATCGTCCCACACACACTGGACATCTCTGTTACCCACAATGATCGTCCTACAGACACTGGACATCTCTGTTACCCACAATGATCGTCCCACACACACTGGACATCTCTTTTACCCACAGTGATCGTCCCACACACACTGGACATCTCTGTTACCCACAATGATCGTCCCACAGACACTGGACATCTCTGTTACCCACAATGATCGTCCCACACACACTGGACATCTCTGTTACCAACAATGATCGTCCCACACACACTGGACATCTCTGTTACCCACAATCATCGTCCTACAGACACTGGACATCTCTGTTACCCACAATGATCGTCCCACACACACTGGACATCTCTGTTACCCACAATGATCGTTCCACACACACTGGACATCTCTGTTGCCCACAATGATCGCCCCACAGACACTAGACATCTCTGTTACCCACAATGATCGTCCCACACACACTGGACATCTCTGTTACCCACAATGATCGTCCCACACACACTGGACATCTCTGTTCCCCACAATGATCGTCCCACACACACTGGACATCTCTGTTACCCACAATGATCGTCCCACACACACTGGACATCTATGTTGCCCACATTGATCGCCCCACAGACACTGGACATGTCTGTTACCCACAGTGATCGTCCCACACACACTGGACATCTCTGTTACCCACAATGATCGTCCCACACACACTGGACATCTCTGTTCCCCACAATGATCGTCCCACAGACACTGGACATCTCTGTTACCCACAATGATCGTCCCACAGACACTGGACATCTCTGTTACCCACAGTGATCGTCCCACACACACTGGACATCTCTGTTGCCCACAATGATCGTCCCACACACACTCGACATCTCTGTTACCCACAATGATCGTCCCACACACACACACTGGACATCTCTATTACAAACAAAATACAGCCGCCTCCTTTATTATCTTAATTAAGTACCTCATAGTGGGTGCCGGAGATAAGGTGCAGACTGTAGCAGAGCTCTGTTTAACGCACTTCGACGTCTTCAGAGCTGTAACCCATTATGACGTCCCCAGAGCTCTGTTTAACCGTGGACCAGGTTGGTAAATCTCTCGCTTCACACAGCTAGGATCCTGGCTCGATTCCCGGCAGTGTAGAAACATTGGACGTGCTTCCTTACACCGGTTATCTATGTTCACCCATCAGTAAAATAGTTACCAGGGTATTAGTCGACTGGTGTGGGTCATATACTGGGGACATAACTGACCTAATTTGCTCGAAATGCTCAGCATAACAAGCGGCTTTCTATATATGTAGTAGTATTTCACTGATGTCAGTTATGGCCTGTATACCTTGTACATGTACTTGTAATAAATAATGATATTATTATTACTATTACTATGACGTCTTCAAGCTCTAATCCACTATGATGTCCCTAAAACTCCGTTTAACCCAGTTTGACATCCCCAGAAGTCTAACCCATTTTGACGTTGTCAGAGCTCTAAGCAAATGTGACGTACCCAAAGCTTTAAGCAGTTGTAATGTTAACAGAGCTTTAATCGATTGTGACATCCCCAGGAGAGACATCAACCAGAGCAGCGAGCAGAGGGGAGAGGTTGTCTCTGCTGTGGCTCAGCTCTTCAAGGCTCTGCACTCAGGCCTTGAGAAGGACGTGAAAGATAAAGTACAGCTTTTAAAGGTAAGAACTCACACTACAGCCTTATTTTTTTTTATTATCACACTGGCCGATTCCCACCAAGGCAGGGTGGCCCGAAAAAGAAAAACTTTCACCATCATTCACTCCATCACTGTCTTGCCAGAAGGGTGCTTTACACTACAGTTTTTAAACTGCAACATTAACACCCCTCCTTCAGAGTGCAGGCACTGTACTTCCCATCTCCAGGACTCAAGTCCGGCCTGCCGGTTTCCCTGAATCCCTTCATAAATGTTACTTTGCTCACACTCCAACAGCACGTCAAGTATTAAAAACCATTTGTCTCCCTTCACTCCTATCAAACACGCTCACGCATGCCTGCTGGAAGTCCAAGCCCCTCGCACACAAAACCTCCTTTATCCCCTCCCTCCAACCTTTCCTAGGCCGACCCCTACCCCACCTTCCTTCCACTACAGACTGATACACTCTTGAAGTCACTCTTTTTCGCTCCATTCTCTCTACTTGTCCGAACCACCTCAACAACCCTTCCTCAGCCCTCTGGACAACAGTTTTGGTAATCCCGCACCTCCTCCTAACTTCCAAACAACGAATTCTCTGCATTATATTCACACCACACATTGCCCTCAGACATGACATCTCCACTGCCTCCAGCCTTCTCCTCGCTGCAACATTCATCACCCATGCTTCACACCCATATAAGAGCGTTGGTAAAACTATACTCTCATACATTCCCCTCTTTGCCTCCAAGGACAAAGTTCTTTGTCTCTACAGACTCCTAAGTGCACCACTCACCCTTTTCCCCTCATCAATTCTATGATTCACCTCATCTTTCATAGACCCATCCGCTGACACGTCCACTCCCAAATATCTGAATACGTTCACCTCCTCCATACTCTCTCCCTCCAATCTGATATTCAATCTTTCATCACCTAATCTTTTTGTTATCCTCATAACCTTACTCTTTCCTGTATTCACCTTTAATTTTCTTCTTTTGCACACCCTACCAAATTCATCCACTAATCTCTGCAACTTCTCTTCAGAATCTCCCAAGAGCACAAAACTTTTTCTTATTTTCAACAAAATTTGTTGATAACATCTCACCCATTCTCTCATTTGCTCTCTTTTTACATTGCTTCACCACTCTATTAACCTCTCTCTTTTTCTCCATATACTCTTCCCTCCTTGCATCACTTCTACTTTGTAAAAACTTCTCATATGCTAACTTTTTCTCCCTTACTACTTACGTTTATATACGTCGTGACACCTGAGGGTCTTGTGTACATGTACGTCGTGACCCCTCAGGGTCTTGTGTACATGTACGTCGTGACACCTCAGGGTCTTGTATACATGTACGTCGTGACACCTCAGGGTCTTGTATACATGTACGTCATGACACCTGAGGGATCTTGTGTTCATATACGTGACACCTGAGGGGTCTTACGTACATGTACGTCGTGACACCTGAGGGATCTTGTGTTCATATATGTTGTGACACCTGAGGGGTCTTACGTACATGTACGTCGTGACACCTGAAGGTCTTGCAAACATGTACATTAAAACCCTGAGGGTCTTGATTATATACCCGTGAATTTTCCATCTAGTAACCTCAACTGGATAAAAGAAAATATTTGTGAAAGTTATTTCTCTACAGTTACAAAAATTTTCTTTAAAACATTCATAATTCATTGTGATTACTTAATATTCACCATTTGATCCTCCGTAGCATGTTATTGGTGCCCACGGTGACCAGTACCGCGGGACACAACACCGGGACGCCCACGACCTGCTCGCTGACCTCCTCAGATGGCTGCACAACGACCTGGTGAATGTGAGTCCTGTGTTGTTTACCTGGAGAGAGTTGGAACAGGGCCTGATCAACCAGGCTGTTACTGTTGGCTGTACGCAATCCAACGTACGAGCCACAGCCCGGCTGGTCAGGTACCGACTTTAGGTGCACACGTTGTAATGTAAGGTCGTCACTGCCGTAATGTAAGGCTAGGTTAGGTTGGGTGAGGTTCGTCAGGAAACAGAGCGAGTGTTTCCTGACGCGGGTCTTAGTCATTTGTTGACCCGCAGCTGGAGCTTTTGGTCATGTGACCGAGGCTTTCTGCAGGATATCGCTTAACACTTTTTGAAATTAGTGGTTATGACTGTAACCATTAGTACTGAGTAATAATGTAAGGCTGCCTGACACATACTGCGACTCCTGAGGGGTCCTCCAAGATTTACCACATTAACATGGGCTAGTCTTTACTCGGTGTCCCGTCTCCTTGCTTCTTACACAAACTTGACTCTCTTGCTCGTACTGGGATTGAATTCAAGCTGCCTCTTAGCTGACCACTCTTGCAGTTTGTCCAGATCTGTTTGGGGCCTTTCCCTGTCCCCATCTGTTTTTTTTTTTTTTTACATCAGCAAACAGGGATACAGATAATTCAATCCCATATTATATGTCATTCGCATAAACGAGAAACAATACTGGTTCTAATGCCAATCCTTGCGGAATCCTGCTTCTTACTCTTCGTCATTCTGACATCTCTTCCCTGACAATAACTCTTATCTTCCGACCTCTGAGGTACTCTTTGACACACCTGATTGCATTCCCTCTTATTCCTGCCTCCACCTGAAGTGTTTACTCCAGTCATTTTTCAGTTACATATATATATATATATATATATATATATATATATATATATATATATATATATATATATATATATATATATATATGTAATATATATATATATATATATATATATATATATATATATATATATATATATATATATATATATATATATATATATATATATATATATATATATATATCGTGATTTCTCACATTATCAAGGAGTTGTAAAAATAAAAGATCAGCAGAAAGGCATATAAGGATGAGACTACACCTCGTGGTCAACATGGAACACCTGATAATTTATGATGATGCCAGAGAAGTGGTAAAGGACTTGTCAGACACAATTTATATTATACCCAAACTTTAATATTTTAACTTGTCGAATATATCTTAAATTCTTCCCAAATTTTATTAATTATCAATGAATTAGTTTGTATAAACTATTTTTTTTATGAAGCTAGATTTTATTATATTTCTCTCAGCCATGGACTTGCCTGATACAACTTTCTTGGCCTTTTGAAAAAAAAAAATTGGATGATTAAAATCTCACATGAATAATGGAGCATCAGACTTGTCCAGTTCTAATGCTATATTTATGTTGTTGTAATCTTAGTTCAAGACTTTTCCCAGTTTGATTGTGATAAACTTATCATTTTTTTTTTTTTTACATGGAATCTTGTTGACACAGACGTCACCATTTTTGGGGGAATTTTTAATCAAAACTTTTTTTACTGTATCAGGATTTTTGAATAAAACTTTGATTTTAAAATTCTTAAGCAGAGAAGATGTATATTTAGTTGAATAAGATTGTTTGTCCTTTTTAAATTGTAAAAAAAAGTATTTCTAGCAATTTGTAAAAGATTTATTAAATGTTTTGGGTAATTTAGATCATTAGCTATTTCATTAATCTTCAAGATTTCTTCATGTATTGATTATAATAATAATAATTGGCTTAAATAGCAACGCTCATCTTGCCATATAGGACAAGTGAAAATTTGTGTATGCAATAATTTCGCAAAAATCATGAACTCTGAACTGCAAATACGCAAAGAATAACTCTGTTACTTTGACACAGAACTCTAACAGACTGGTACAACAAGACTGGCCATCTGGGAACCCGTGCTGGCCATCGTTTATCAAACCTCTGAAAGTGCTTTACCACTCTCATAATCTTCTCCAATACTTTACATGGTATACATGTCTGTGATACTGATCTGTAGCTCAGCGCTTGCTCTCTCTCTCTCTCTCTCTCTCTCTCTCTCTCTCTCTCTCCTCATAAATATAAAGATTGCATTTGCTGTCTTCCAGATCTGTCGTATATCCATTGACTTGTTGTAGGTCTGAGTGTGTATGTGTGTGTATGTGTGTGTGTGTGTGTGTGTGTGTGTGTGTGTGTGTGTGTGTGTGTGTGTGTGTGTGGGTGTGTGTGTGTGTGTGTGTGTGTGTACTCACCTAATTGTACTCACGTAATTGTGGTTGCTGGGGTCGATTCATAGCTCCTGGCACTGCCTCTTCACTGGTCGCTACTAGGTTCACTCTGTCCCTGCTCCATGATCTTTATCGTATCGTGTGTGTGTTTGTTTGCTGCTTCCGTGCTTGCACACACGCAAATTAGAAATTCCCTTAAGGACACTGCAAAGTTAGTTCTTACTTACCACCTTGAGTTATTCTCTGGCATAGAGGGAGCCACCGCTATCCTGGGTCAAGGATAACATTGTGGGAATTGTGATAACCTAAGATTCACCTTTTGACTCAAAATGGGGGGAACCTTTGATTGAACTTTAAATAGAAAGAGGTTTGGTAATGGAGTAATAATCACTTTTAAGAAGAAATCGATCTTATTTTGACCTCCCCCCCCCCAGATTGAAATTCTGGCCTAAGTGCTTCATATTTCACCAAGTCTGTTACACACAAATATTGACCTTAAAGACATGGGGAAAAAATTGTGCTTTTTTTTACCATTTGGTCATTATACGCGAATTTAATATAACCAGTTCACCACCACAGCCTTACATTTCCTTCTCTTGTATGCTGCGCGTCCTGCTGCATCCTGCACCTGCGCCTGCGCAGGCTGCTGGGTCTTCCCTCGTCTCACGTCGCCTGCGGGGAGAGAACAATGTGGTCACCGTCTGTGAGAGGTGCGGGAAGGAGGTGTCACGGGCCACAGACATCTTCACTATACTAAGTCTTCCCGTCGCCCCCAGCAGGATGTGCTCACTCCAGGTAAATCCTCACGTCGTAGTGTTTCCAGCTCTGCTGGAAGGAAACCTCTGAAGTTGTCCTCAGTACACCCAGTCTTTGTGATCCTCTCTCAGTACACTCTGCCTCTCTGATCCTCTCTCTCTCTCTCTCTATCCAGGACCTGATTAGGACATTCTACCGACGCCAGAAAGTGGACAGGGAGTGTTCACAGTGTAGACGACTCAACACCTGCCACAGAGACAAGTTCATCACTCTACTCCCACCTGTCCTCATTATACACCTCAGGAGGTAGGAAGCAAAACATACAGGTCTAAGAAACTATAGTTTGAAGCCGACCCGAGAAGGCATTCTCCAGTAACCGCCAGGAATTCAAATATTCCAAACGTGAATGAGACACAGATGTCTCATTCATCAGTTTGTCGGTTTTGCAAATTATTTATTCACATTCCAAACTTGGTTACTTTAGGTGTGAAATTCACAATAGCGAGGCTTGGAATAATGTTAAACTAGCCTTCGTATCTGGTGTTGAAATTCAGACGGGGTTTTCGGCTTGTCCTGGTAGAGCATGAAGCAGCAAGTATCTTGATGGTAGTCTAGTACGGGCTGAAACGTTGTTTTGAGTTCAATATGTTGACTAAGATGTGAAGAATGACCTTCTTTTGTTTGTAATTGACGATGCATTTACACTTGTATATAATGAGTGTTTACGTTGGTTGAGAACTGATAGTGTGTAAGTTGGTAAACACGAGAGAGAGAGAAAAAAAAAAAGAGAGCTAATGTAGGTAACAGCTCTAGGCTTGTAAATAAAGTGAGAAACCCTAACCCTAACCTTGTAATACCCTGTGTAAAAAGAGAGAGAGTTGCCAGTAGTGATAATAAGGCAGGATGAGGTGTATCTTCTTAAATCACTGGACCAAGAAAAGGCTGTGGGCTCCGATAAAGTAAGCCCAAGATTGTTGAGTAGCTGTGCAGACCAGCTAGCAGTACCTCTAACTTGCATTTGTCAGCACTGCCTAGCACAGTGTAAATGACCTATTCTGTGGAAAGAGGCAAATGTAGTCCCCGTTCACAAAAAAGAACACAGCTGAAATCAGCAATTACAGACCAGTGTAAATCTGGCAAGATTCTTGAAACAATAATCTCACGGTAGATGACAGAGTTTTTCGACTACCACTCACTTTGTGACCGTCAATGAGGTCACACCTATCCAACACAATTGTCCTCATAGATTTGTTAAGTTATACCATGAATTAAGGAAAGATCCTGGACCTCACCTTACGAAAGCTGACAAAGCAAATGCGATAGTAATTATGAACAAGGTAGATTATAGTGGAAAAATGAACATGTTATTAGAAAACAGGGGAAGTGACGTGGCCCTTTAATTAGAGAAAGAGAGAGAGAGAGAGAGAGAGAGAGAGAGAGAGAGAGAGAGAGAGAGAGAGAGAGAGAGAGAGAGAGACTAAGAGCACCATGACCTGGCAGGTACAGCAGCGCTGACGAGAGGGAGAGAAGAACCTGGGTCACCTTCCCTGCTGACGGTCTCTCTCTGCAGGACCACACACACGCCAACTACCACAGGTAGGTTTGATCAGAGGAACCAACAGAGTACCTGCTGTCGCTGCTCTCCCTCACGCCCCATCCTAGGATCAAATCTTATTTCCGTACATTCCCAAGTATGGCCCACACAGATTTATCGCTTCCTTATTATATTATTATTATTATTATTATTATTATCATTGCTGTTATTATTATTGTTATTGCTGTTATTATAATTTTATTATTATTGTTGCTATAATTATTATTGTTATTATCATTATTAGTATTATTGCTGTTATTATTATCATTGCTATTATTTTTATTGTTACTGTTCCCATTATTATTATAAGTATTATTATTATTATTATTATTATTATTATTATTATTATTATTATAGTATTATTAGTATTACTATATACAATGACCATACTCGTACAGTCCAACATACGAGTTGTTTGCCGTGGTGAACCACGAGGGCCCCATCAGCAGTGGTCACTACACCACCTTCTGCAGGAACCAGCACGGCAAGACCTGGCGTCTCTACGACGACCTCCGTGTGAGCGAGACCGACCTCGAGACCGTCCTCGAGGAGAGCCAAGCACAGATACTCTTTTACACTGAGATGAAGCAGAGCGTCAGGATATAACATGGGAGTCTGTGCAGTGTGAAGTCAGGATGTAACATGGGAGTTTGTGCAGTGTGAAGTCAGGATGTAACATGGGAGTCTGTGCAGTGTGAAGTCAAGATGTAACATGGGAGTTTGTGCAGTGTGAAGTCAGGATGTAACATGGGAGTCTGTGCAGTGTGAAGTCAGGATATAACATGGGAGTTTGTGCAGTGTGAAGTCAGGATGTAACATGGGAGTCTGTGCAGTGTGAGTCAGGATATGGTATGGTGGTGTGCGTAGTGTGAGACCAGGGTCGGTAGGGGAGGTAGACAATATGGGGGACTGCCTGTGTCTTCCCCGCTCTCACACACACATACACACACACACATCGTGCAAAATTTTTTTAGTAGCACAGTGTTTACACTTTCATTTTTCTCTCTGGGATGTACCATGCATTGTCTATAGTGGTGTGTTATGTATAGTAGTGTGTTGTGTATAGTGTCGTTTTGTATACAGTGATGTGTTGTATAGTGGACCCCAATTGAATTAAGTCACTATACATATGCTGCTAGGTATGATAATTGTATTTATGTGTACCTGTACCTGAATAAACTTGCTTATAAGGGAGAGTGGACAACTCTGACAAGGTCAGCTAGGACTCCCTCTCTTTGTCACCTTCCACGAGGCCGTGAGACTGCCAGCCACATTTGGGTCTACGCTGTCCTCCACTATGAATCACCATGGAATGTGCCTTTACCCTACATGGGTCGTTACCCGTCCAGCTTAAGTTTACCGGACAGATGGAGGGATGGCAGAGGATGTTGCAACTAGCCAGCCACAAAGCCAGGGAAACAGTGCATCTAACAATGAGAGAAGAGGCACATGTCAGGTGTCTCTGGAGCATATCGGACCCTCGGTAGGAGTGGCCTTATCCGTGTGAACAATGGGTGTGCTGGGTCGCATATGCTTCCTGCAGAGAGCACTCCACAGCCTCCACAGGCAGGGGAGAACTCCAGTGGCAACGTCTTCAGTTGCGATGATCTGATGGCATTCAAAGCCAGTGCTGACAGTACTCTATCTCATATTTTTATAGCTGCTCGCCCTTTGCTGCAGGGAAATTCACTGACCTTCTAAAGCAGGTAAATGGAGGGTCCACTGACTTAGAAGCCCAAGGCACAATTAAGATTTTAACTTGCCTTATGTATCTTAATTTTTTCTCGACCATGGACCTGCTTGATTAACTTCCTCAGCCTCTTGAAAATCAATTGGATGGTTAAAATCTCTCACATAAATAAACAGAGCATTAGCCACTTGACCAGCTCTAATACTATATTTATATTGTTGTAATCTTAGTTCAGACTTTTCCCAGTTTGACCGTAATAAACTTGATCACATTTTTTACAAGGAATGTTGTAGACACCCTTCAGTATTTTTGAGGGATTTTTTTTATCAATTTTTTTTACTGTATCAAGATTTTTAAATACCACTCTGATATAAAAATTCTTAAGGAGAGAAGGTATATCAAGAATTAAGAATTTTAATATCAAAGTTGTATTTAAAACCTTGGTAAGTCTTGTGTACCATATTAAGTAATAAAATATACCTATTTAAAAAAAGGAATGGATGGTAAGGGAAATGGAATACTTGAATGGCTTCAGGAAGAAATCCAAATATTTTCCCAAAATTGCCCAAATAGATGTTTTGGCGTTTTTGGATAGTTTTACTGCTAAAGGCCTTGGATGGCTTGTTGTTGAGGGAACGATGAACAGTGACAAATAAAAGGAAATTTCGGCAACTCATTTGCTTCCCATTGTTGATAAGGACTTTCCTGGTGGAGAAGACATTTTCCAGCAGAATCTTGCTCCATGCCACACTTCCTTCTAGAAAAATGCTGACATTCTTCGAAAGAGTGGGGCTAAGTGTTCTAAATTTGACTGGAAACTCTCCTGACCTCAATTCAACTGAGAATCTATGGGCAATAACTCAACACAGGATAGCAAAACAGGACTGTTCGTCTGTGGAGAAGCTAATTACTGCTGTTATTAGGACCTGGTACCACCACGAAGAACTTTCCCAACTGTGTTAAATTTGGGTGGATTCTATGCCGCAGCGTGTAGCAGTGATTATAAAAGTAAAGAATAGTCATCTTTCTTATTAAATTCATTATCTGCCATATAATTGCCTTGTAATTTCTCAAATAAACATTAATTTTCCGAATGTCTTATTTCATCACTGTCCCACTAAATATGCACACTACTGTACTTTAAGTTTTAAGTTTTAAGTTTGTTTATGAATGATATCAAGTTTAAGTGTGTTTGAACTATCTATGTATCACGTATACAAAGTTTAAATATACATATATATCGAGACATGTATCCCAATATGCTGAGGATTTTCTTTAATCCTTATTTTAGGGATTAAGGTATTGGTGGTGAAGAGAATTCAGCCTTAATCTGTTTAGTCAATATTTACTATCACTAGTAATAGGAGTCGTAGACATAATTGGACTGACTGCAGAAAAAGCATAACATCCAGCCATATTCTTAAAATTATTATCCACTTAGAATTACTTCTTGATTCGCCAGTATTCTCCCGGCCCGGGCCTTTTCCAAGTGGTGGCCCGGCCTTGGCTCTGTCTGGGGAGTGTCTGAGACCTAAGTCTCCCGTGGGAGGAGGCACAAGTACCCCCTCATCTTTGGAACCAACTGTCCCCAGGCCTAGCCACATTCCCCGCCCTCACGGGGCTCGTAGGGAGAAGCTAGGCCTCTCTGGTCTGCCATCTCCGCCCCAAGGGGGCTAATGGAATGACAGTCTGTGAGCTGCAGGCTCCGGCTCAGGCACTTAGTTAGGCATGGTGTCGAGGCACCTAGTTAGGCATGGTGTCGAGGCACCTAGTTAAGCATGGTGTCGAGGCCCAGTGCTGGGTCGTGCGGATTCTTAATTAAATTTAAATATAAAATTGCAAAATGTTATGTAAGATTTTTTATTTTTTTTTAAATTTTCCAAAAAGTTTTGTACTTTTTTTTAATTTTTATATAATTATTAATTTACTTTAAATAAAAATTATAGAATATATTTTGAATAGTTTTATTTGTGACTGTGAGGTCCGGCAGACCGGACTCGAGTCCTGGAGACGGGAAGTACAGCGTCTGCACTCTGAAGGACGTGTGTTAATGTTGCAGTTTTATAACTGTAGTGTAAATGCGCCTCTGGCAAGACAGTAATGGAGTGAGTGATGGTGAAAGTTTTTCTTTTTTCGGGCCACCCTGCCTTGGTGGGAGACGACCGATGTGTTAATAACAACATAATGTTTGTTGGGAGAGTTTACTTGGCAATATACAATTTTATGTTCCTCTAATATATTAGAATTAGTTTGTATGCGTTCTAGTGAATATTATGTGAGCATTAAACCTGATAATATTATTAAACTACAGTTGTATGTGGTACAAGTTTTTATTATGTTATGCAGTGTTTACTGTACCGCTACCCTTTTCCTTCTTTTCAAGTTCCGTTTAATAAACACCGGAGGTACTTTATATCCTTTAAGTACACATTTTTATCTTATTTTTGTAAAATCAATCCCCTCAAGGAAGGTTCCTTGATGTTGGTGAGGAGCTCTTGATTTAGGGAATTGGATCTGTGCTCCAGTTCCCCGAATTAAGCCTGAATGCCTTCCACATCCCCCCCCCCAGGCGTTGTATAATCCTCCGGGTTTAGCGCTTCCCCCTTGATTATAATAATAATAATAATAATAATAATAATAATAATAATTTGTAAAATCAGTAAGAGTTATTTAGGCGTACAAGTTAGCGCTAATGTATAATGTGTGTTTTGGTGGGCCATTATTAAGGTCAGCTGGAAGCTACAGTAAAGAAATATTGGTAAATAGGCCAGACAATTATGATAACAAACTGCATGAACGCAAATATCTTTATTTACTACAAGTACATGTACAAGGTATACAGTCCTAGCTGACAACAATGACATACTACTATATAGAAACTCCCTTGTTATGCTCCGCATGTCGGGCAAATTAGGTCAGTGTCCCGGGATGCGACCCACACCAGTCTACTAACACCCAGGTACCCATTTTACTGATGGGGAACATAGACAACAGGTGGAAAGAAACACGTCCAATGTTTCTACTCTGGCTGGGAATCGAACCCAGGCCCTCGCCGTGTGAAGCGAGTGTTAGCCACCAGGCCACCAGATGCGTGGGGACCATTCAGAACCATATTTACTGATGGGTATGAGGTGCATGATAAAGATATTAATCTAACTGCCATCCTGGATAATATCGCACCAGTTAAAGAGTTCAGGATTAAACGAAGAACTGAATCCTGGATAACTGCTGAGATATTGTATAATATCAAATTCAGGGATCGGTTGCTATAAAGTTTTTAAGGCGAACTGACAGGATACTTCAGTGCTAAAGGAATTCCAAAAGGTAAGGAACAGTGTAGAGTCTTATAAATGGAGCAAAGGTGAGATGAAGTTACCATCCCAGTTCCGCCTATGTTGTCTGTTCCCACATGAGATCAGGAGTGCACTATAAAAAAAAAGAAATAAATATAATTTATGCGAAAGGTAGGATTAAATTATCTCAGTTAAGAGTATGTGCTGCTACCACAGGTTCTTTTAGTAGTAGTAGAAGTGAAAGGAGGTAAAGTTTAAGCAGAAGAGAGAACAGTGTAACGAAGAAGCAACAGACAAGACTCAACAAGAGGATAACCTGAGCCTCCCCAGAGCTCGAGCTTCTGCATGAAGCTGGGGTATACCCAGAGAGGGTTTCGGGGGGTCAACGCCCCTGCGGCCTGGTCTATGACCAGGTCTCCTGGTGGATCAGGGTCTGATTAACCAGGTTGTTACTGCTGGCCGCACGCAGACTGACGTACGAACCACAGCCCGGCTGATTAGGCACTAACTTTAGGTATCTGTCCAGCTCCCTCTTGAAGGCAGCCAGGGGTTTACTGGACAAGCTACTTACAGCCTTAATGACCCTCATGTAGTTGATAAGATTTAAACCTAAAAAATAGCACGTGCAGAACAACACAAACACACACAAGAACTCCCATGGAAATAAGTTATTTTGACTTTTTTGGAGGTTATCCTGGGTGATTTACACATGTTACTTATGTGTGATAATTTGTGTAACTGTATCTATATAACCTTACTAAACAAACACACCATGCACAAACACCACACACACCACACACACACACACACACACACACACACCACACACACACACACACACACACAACACACACACACACACACAAACACACCAACACACACACACACACACACACACACACACACACACACACACACACACACACACACACACACACACACACACACACACACACACACAGTCAGTCAGCAGACGTGGGTGACAAGGCTCCGAGAACTTTAGTGTTTTTTAAGGCATGCAGTAACTGCTAGCAGTAATCAGTGGTAGTGACAACGTCAGTGAATAATCCTACGAGTTATAACCAGAGTTATGAGTTAAAAAAAGTCGAGAGGAAGCCTGAAATCATTAATATTTCAAAGTGTCAAACCGTTAGGGGCTAGTAGGCTTCTGTTGCTACACAGATTCAAATATACAAAGATTCAAGTGAGTGTGGAAGTGGGTGTTCAAGAATTTCGAGAGATTGGATAACAAGTGAAATGTGGTGCACCATACAGTGAGAGTGAAAAAGTTAATAAGCAAAAGTAGAAAGGAAAAATATAATATATAACAAGGGAAGGTGGCAGTAGGCCTGCTGAAGCAGCGACGTCACAACAGTTGTGTCACATTATACATATAAAGTGTAACACCGAATGTGAAGTGTATTCTATTATAAGTGAAGTGTATTCTATCATAAGTGAAATCACCTGAGGGACGTGGGATGTATGAGCATATACGGTTATAAAGATCACGGGTGAAGAATTTTCAAAATAGTGATAGAAGGCGTATGTACGACGACTACGTCATCAGCATCTGGCAACTTGTCATCGCATCACTGCCAGCGAAAGGTATCACTCACCTGTTGGGGTTGTTGTGGGGTTCTGAATCCTGGTCTTGCATCACTGTTAGATACTGGTCACTCACTCCTGCAAGTTATTACCAGAATTAGAGCAGAAATAGCATAGATAAGGTGAAGATAGTGTTGACTAGCGAGGAGCAGACTAGCGAGGGGAAGCCTAGTGAGGGGTGACGTCAGACACTCCTAGAAGCTGAGACAAGCTAAATTTTACAACCTAATTACTTTCTGTGTTTTATAAGTAGAAGTGATAAGTGCTAGAATCACTGTTGGTAGTTTTAGAAATACTGGTATTACTACTGATATTTATTAGCAGTATGAATACTTAGAAGTGGGGGCACACACACACACGCACGCACACACACATACACAAGATTTCATACCTTCCTGTTAACTGACCTGAAATCCCTCCCTCTCTTTCTCTCTCAATACCTATCTCTCTACCTCTCTTTACCCATCTCTCTCTACCTATCTCTCAGTACCTGTTTCTCTACCTCTACCTATCTCTCTCCCTCTATACCTATCTCTCTCACACCTCTGTCTATCCCTCTATCATACCCTCTTCCCTATACCTCTCTACCTAACCTCCTCAAACCTATACCTCGCCCCTATCCCTCCTCTACCTATCCTCTTCCCTATATCTCTCACTCCCTATCTCTCTACCTGCCCTTCCCCTTTGCCATCCTCTTCCCTCTCCCAACTCCCTTTCCCCTAAACATCTCTTCCCTCTAACACCTTCCCCCCTAACGTCCCTCCCCCTCTAACATCTCTCCCCCTCCAATCCTCCCCTTCCCATTTCCCATCTCCTTCTCCCCTCATCTCCTCCACCCCTCTCTCCCCCTCCTTTTCCCATCCCCCCCTCTCTTCCCCCCTTCTCCCCTGCCCCCCCCCCTCTCTTTCCCCCTCTTTTTTGCCCCTCTTCCCCCCTCTCCTCTCTTCTCTCTCTCTCCTCTCTCTCTCTCTCTCCTCTCCCCCTTTTCCCTTCTCACTCTCCCTCCCTTTTCCTTTCCCTTTTTCCTCCTCTCTCTCCTTTTTTTAAAAAAAAATAGGGGGGGGCTCGCGGGAACCCGGGGATCAATGAGAAGGTACGGGTGGAGGAGTGGATGAAGGAGCAGGGGAAAAGGATGGAACAAGAGTGGGGGGAAAAAAGGAGACTTTCTGAAAAATGGAACAGAGCTTTTGCG